TATAATAATTAAAATAAGGGATTACACTCAAATGTTAAGACTATAATGTATAAAATATAAATAATAATTTATTAATGCTAAAATTGCCACATAAGAAGCAAATTGGGAAAATTGATCATATAAGTTGGAGAGGATTAGGCAGATATGATATCCTGCCTTGACCTGTCACAAGTTGGATATGACATGTGCCTTAGATCAGTCAGAAGGTGGATATGACACCTGTCTTAGCTCTGTCACAAGTTGGATATGACATGTACCTTAGATCAGTCAGAAGGTGGATATGACACCTGTCTTAGCTCTGTCACAAGTTTGACAGGAGAGCTGCCACAACTCTGCTACACGCAACAGAAGAGCAGGACTGACAGGCAAGTTCGACAGAAGTGCCTCCACAAGTCTGTCACAGAAGTTGGACAGGAAAAACTGCCACAGATCAGTCATGCGAGTTAGACAGAGGTGGTGCTGGTGCAGCCAGATGTCTGCTGCAGAAGGCCGCCAAGTTCCTCCACCCCCAGGGGACATCTCAGGGTGACCTCCTCACAAGTATCTTGACTTCGTTGCTGGCTGGCCTCCGCCGGCGGCGGCTCCAGAACAACAGCGCTGTAGGAGCCCAAAGCCTCTGGACTGTTGTGGAAGAGTTTCACAAGGACATTTTCCTCCATGGTTCGATTCTCCTGCGTCTTGCTGTTCAAGTGACATAGGAACTTGAGGACACATCCGTCGGTATCCAGGTGGGTGACGGCGGACATCAACAGCTCCTGTGCTTGTGCTACCTCAGGTTGAATGGCCCGCGTTCGGCGCCTGCGCACCACAGGGCCATAGGTATAATAATTCACCGGCGCAGCGTACGACGGCGCAGGAGGCCGTAGACGGTATTTTGGCGGGCCGAACATGTCTTCCGGCGACGGGTAAGAGTTCCGACGCGTCGGAGCATACGTAGTTTGTTCTTCAACTTCGTCGTCATCGTCGTAGTATTCAGCTTCCACTGCGGCAATGAATTCGTCGTATTCCTGTTGGTCCGACAGCTCGCTGCGACGGGCCAGGTCCATAGCTTCGATGACCAGCGCAGCCTGGAAAGGTTAAAGTTAATATAGATAAGTTTCCCGTGGATATGTACGCGGAGCGAGCAATGATTATGTTCCGGACAGTGTGAGATGGATAGAGTTAACAACCAGGGGGGGGGGGCCAGATTCACGAAGCAATTAGGCATTAAGTACTTACGAACATGTACATCTAAAAATTCACGAAGCAGTTAAGCAAGCATTTAGGAACGTGTTCATCTTTCCTCAATCTTTGACGGCTTTGGTTACATTTATTAAACAGTTTACAAGCATGAAAACTTGCCAATCAACTGTTGTTATTGTTATAAACAGCCTCCTGGTGCTTCGGAGCTCATTAATTGTTTAATAATTGTAAACAAAGCCATCAAAGATTAATAAAAGATGGACAGGTTCGTAAGTGCTTGCAAAACTGCTTCGTGAATCTGACCCCAGGTTCGTAAGTGCTTGCGTAACTGCTTTGTGAATCTGACCCCGGGTTTTTATATATAAAACAATGCATACGGGTTGGAAAAGTATCAGTTGTTATTGCAGTAAAAAACATCAGTAATGATGATAAAAGGCTGAAACAACACTACAATGTTCTCCAGCAGAGTGAGAGCGAGAACTCACCTTCAGGAGGGAGAAGCCAGCTATGGCCAATCCTGCTCTCTTGCTGTAGGAGAGCAGGTTGAGCTGTGGGAACATCTGTACCAGAGCGGCTACAGGCTCAGGGTACAAGAAGGCGTCACAGGCCGCCGCCATCACCACCACCACAGCTACACACTGCCACACCCTCATCTGTAACATAGTAGTGTAAAATGTGACTACGACCGATCAATTAGTTAGGGGATCAGTCGGTTGTAGACATCTTTAATTTGTTGGTGAACTTTAGCTAGGGGGGGTTAATAATTGTAGGTAAAATCCTCTGGTATGGTGGTGTCCAGTTATGGTAGTGTCCACTTATGGAGGTGTCCACTTATGGTAATCTTCACTTATGGTAGTGTCCACTTATGGTAATTTTCACTCATGGTAGTGTCCACTTCTGGTAATCTCATTCCGTTTTCTGTTTTGGGTCCTCTGCTAGGTTAGGGGAGACCACTTTAAATATACCATTTACTTGACGTTGGATGATGATGATGGAGGGGTTTCGGATATTTGTTGGTTCCCAAACCAAAGGTCCCGGGTTTTATTCCCTCTCGGGACGGAGACGTTTGGATAGCTTTCCTCTCGCTGTCCACCTGGCCATGAATAGGCAACAGGGAGATAGCCAACTATTGTGGTTTGGGTCCTAACAATTGGGAACTAACCTTATGTAAAGATACTTCAAAGATACCTTAAATTCAACTCGGGCACTCATAATTAATACCAATTAAGTCTTACCTTGTATAGGAGTAAAGTGTAAGTCTGCGTAGATTGGGCTGGGAAGCAGGACCAGCAGACTCCTTGGACTAGCGTCTGCTGCACCCGCTAAGCAGGTGCAGCAGAATTCAGCAGTTAAAGGGTTATATACGAGCCACATACAGCAGACTAGGCTGCAGTGGGATATAGTGCGGTCCAGCACCCGCAAGGCAGGTCCAGCAGAATTCAGCAGTTAAAGGGTTATATACGAGCCACATACAGCAGACTAGGCTGCAGTGGGATATAGTGCGGTCCAGCACCCGCAAGGCAGGTCCAGCAGAATTCAGCAGTTAAAGGGTTATATACGAGCCACATACAGCAGACTAGGCTGCAGTGGGATATAGTGCGGTCCAGCACCCGCAAGGCAGGTCCAGCAGAATTCAGCAGTTAAAGGGTTATATACGAGCCACATACAGCAGACTAGGCTGCAGTGGGATATAGTGCGGTCCAGCACCCGCAAGGCAGGTCCAGCAGAATTCAGCAGTTAAAGGGTTATATACGAGCCACATACAGCAGACTAGGCTGCAGTGGGATATAGTGCGGTCCAGCACCCGCAAGGCAGGTCCAGCAGAATTCAGCAGTTAAAGGGTTATATACGAGCCACATACAGCAGACTAGGCTGCAGTGGGATATAGTGCGGTCCAGCACCCGCAAGGCAGGTCCAGCAGAATTCAGTAGTTAAAGGGTTATATACGAGCCACATACAGCAGACTAGGGTACAGTGGGATACGGTGCGGTTCAGCAGACTAGGGGAGCAGTGGGTTGAGTATGAGTAGAGCAGACCAGTGGTGAGTGGGGATTGTGGTGACGCGTGTTGGGTTACTTGTATATATATAGTTTACAGTCTACGGTGACCCACTGAGCGGTAGTGAGGGGAAAGTCTTCGGTAAGTCACCATCTGCATGACCTGGGCCACTACTACCGCCATCACTATCACCACCAACTTCACTACCACCACCACCTTCACCACCACCACCACCACCACCACCACCACCTTCACTACTACCACCACCACCACCACCACCACCACCACCTTCACTACCACCACTACCACCACCACCACCACCACTACCACCACCACCACCACCACCACCCCCTCCCCCAAAAGCGAGCCATGGAAGAAGCTATAACTCCAACACTATAACTTTCTGTACAGAATTATTTAGACAAAATATTAGAATAAGCAGCACCAGCCTGGAATCCACAGCCGAAGAAACATAAAATCAAAACTTAATAATAATAATAATAATAATAATAATAATAATTTTTATTTAGGCAAAGGTACATACATAAAGAGATTTTACAAAGTTTGTTGGCTTTATAGATAGGAGCTAGTACATCACATCTAGATAAGATGTACATACATAAGATGTACAGATGTAGGTACATCACATCTAAATCACATCTAAAGGTTTACAACAAGGTTGGCACCAGAGGTAAAAGGGTTAAGCTATGAAGCCAAACTAGAGAAACTAGATCTCACTATCTTCTTGAGGTTATCTTGAGATGATTTTGGGGCTTTAGTGTCCCCGCGGCCCGGTCCTCGACCAGGCCTCCACCCCCAGGAAGCAGCCCGTGACAGCTGACTAACTCCCAGGTACCTATTTACTGCTAGGTAACAGGGGCATAGGGTGAAAGAAACTCTGCCCATTGTTTCTTGCCGGCGCTTGGGATCGAACCCGGGACCACAGGATCACAAGTCCAGCGTGCTGTCCGCTCGGCCGACCGGCTCTCACTAGAGAACAGAAAACAAATGGGACATGATCACGACATACAACATATTAAAGGACATAGACAAAGGAGGAAACTGGCAATGCACAAATGAACACTTGAACGCGGCTATGAACACTTGAACGCGGCTATGAACACTTGAACGCGGCTATGAACACTTGAACGCGGCTATGAACACTTGAACGCGGCTATGAACACTTGCCAAAACTTCTAAGTTGTCTAGGAATCAATTAAGAAATGTTTTAATATATTCTAAGGTAAAAGAAATCAATGTTTTGACAATTATTTTTATTCTTCAATGATATACACATGTGAATGTTGTGGTTTCAGGTTTAGCTACTCAGAACGAAGTGTCCATGTAGCACGGGCTATGGCGAGCCCCGTAACACTTGCGAACATGAATGAATAATTAAGTTGAGGGGCTTTGGTACAGTAATGATGGTGTTTCTTGCAGCTTGTTCACCTGTTAGACAGCTGGCTATCCTGTTAGACAGCTGGCTATCCTGTCAGACAGTAGGCTAACCTGTTAGACATAGATGTTATAGAACAGTTATCGAAGGTATTACACGTATGTAACACCTGACCTACTACACATCTGGCACATATTGCACACACACACACACATGTGGCCCCCAGAACAATTGCTACCTACAACATGACAAATGTCGGTCACTTCGAAAAGGGACGACGACGTTTCGGTCCGTCCTGGACCATTCTCAAGTCACAATCGACTTGAGAATGGTCCAGGACGGAGCGAAACGTCGACGTCCCTTCACCTTTTAGTGTGTGGTCTGGTCAACATACTTCAGCCACGTTATTGTGACTCCTCGCCTGCGTGACCTATTCAGTCTTAACTAAACCTGCTTAACCTAACCTGATCTGAGAGTGACTGTGGGGTTGTGGGAGAGACTTCAATAGAATGAAAGGATAGGAAACATCATTTGGGAACTCTGAAAGGCCTCGAACCCGCGACCCAGAGAATCCCAAGCACTGACGCTAACCACTGAGCCACCTTAGGGGAATAGAATGATAAATAACTTAAAGAATGGAATATTGTAATGATATAATATACAGGGATGATATATGAGTGTTAGAAAGGAGGTTTTTAACGTCTCACGTAGGGAGCAGACTGCTGCGAGCAGGTCTGCTGGCACAGAGTTAGGTAGGAGAGCTGTTGCTGCTGCTGCAGGCTGATGTCTGCTGCAGGAGTCTGCCGAGCTCCTCCACCGTCAGGGGACACTTGGGGAACACCTCGTCACAACTTTCCCGCCCGCGGGCAGCCAAGATGGCGTCGTTGTAGGCGGCGAGTGTATTGGAGCTACTAGTAAACAAACGGAAGAAGACATTTTCCTGCAGGGTTCGTTCCTCCTGTCCCTTGGTGTCCAGGTGACACAGGAGCTTCAGGACACAGCCGTCGGTGTCCAGCTGGGTGACGGTGGACATCAGCAGCCTCGTCAGTTCATTAACCTCATCCAGTTCGGCTCCCAGCGCCCTTTTCTGCCGGTTGAAGACAGAGTTCGCGAAGTCAAACACTGGCGGAGGATAAGATCCCTCCGGAGACGGGTACTGTGACTCTGCAGGGATGTAAGAGGACTCTGCAGGGATGTAAGAGGACTCTGGCGAAACGTAGGACTCCGGAGAGATATAAGAGGACTCTGAATGGCCCGAATCAGCCCCTATAGAAACATAGGAGGACTCCGGAGGACTGAAAGAGGACTCTGACTGGCCAGAATCAGCCTCTATAGACACATACGAGGACTCCGGAGGACTGAAAGAAGACTCTGAATGTCCGTGAGAGAGTCCAGACTGCTCCTGGAAGTATCCAGAGGGCTCCTGAAACGATTCTTGATATCCGTGAGCGGGATTCGAAGCCCCAGCATTGCCGTAGGTTTCCTCTTCGCCGGAAGTGGGTTCTAGCGGCAGAGGATCTGGATATATGGGGCTCTTATCTTCCTTCAGGAAAGCCAGGATTACTGCAGCCTGTGGATACAACAGGTTGTTAGATCTGAGGATAAGGAACGGTGATTTTGGCTACCATGAGAGGACAATGGGATGCTGGAAAGCTCACCTGAAGAGCCAAAAGAGCCGCTACAGGCAAGGCTCCTAGAGGCGTAGCGGCCAGTAGAGGCAATCCGTTGGTAGGGATGACCACAGCTGAACATCTTGTGAGCGATCCCAAGGTAGCGCTCAGGACTAACACCCAACGCATCTGTAAATATATAAACACACCTGCTGAATCACAGAGGCATCCCACACATCTGTAAATACACAGCCACACACCTGCTGAGTCAAATGAGTCACCGTGACAGCGTTCTTGGCATAACACGAAGCCAAAGCATCCTGAAAAATGAAGCATTTATATGCTTTAAAACAAACCATTCCTCTCCCTGTCGGTACTCACAATACTGGTACAGGAAGTACCCACCAGTACCCACCAGTACCCACCAGTACCCGCAT